ATAGATAGATACAGTAGATAGATAGATAGATACAGTAGATAGATACAGACAGATAGATAGATACAGTAGATAGATAGATAGATACAGTAGATAGATACAGATAGATAGATAGAAAATATAAATTGTGCATTTTTGACTTCATAACAGGCAAAGGTTTTAAATAAATGCAATGCATTTCTTAAAATGAAATGTTCTAAAACATTCAAATTGACTACAGTCATAACACCTTTTGCTAAAAGCAATTAATTGTTGATGCCAACCAGAGTTACTTGATGTATTGTCACTGATTTCAGTTTCATTACAAGGACCTCTGGGATTGTTTCCTCACATACAGTGGGTACGGAAAGTATTCAGACCCCCTTAAATGTTTCACTCTTTGTTATATTGCAGCCATTTGCTAAAATCATTTAAGTTAATTTTTTTTCCTCATTAATGTACACACAGCACCCCATATTGACAGAAAAACACAGAATTGTTGACATTTTTGCAGATTTATTAAAAAAGAAAAACTGAAATATCACATGGTCCTAAGTATTCAGACCCTTTGCTGTGACACTCATATATTTAACTCAGGTGCTGTCCATTTCTTCTGATCATCCTTGAGATGGTTCTACACCTTCATTTGAGTCCAGCTGTGTTTGATTATACTGATTGGACTTGATTAGGAAAGCCACACACCTGTCTATATAAGACCTTACAGCTCACAGTGCATGTCAGAGCAAATGAGAATCATGAGGTCAAAGGAACTGCCTGAAGAGCTCAGAGACAGAATTGTGGCAAAGCACAGATCTGGCCAAGGTTACAAAAAAAATTCTGCTGCACTTAAGGTTCCCAAGAGCACAGTGGCCTCCATAATCCTTAAATGGAAGACATCTGGGACGACCAGAACCCTTCCTAGAGCTGGCCGTCCGGCCAAACTGAGCTATCAGGGGACAAGAGCCTTGGTGAGAGAGGTAAAGAAGAACCCAAAGATCACTGTGGCTGAGCGCCAGAGATGCAGGCGGGAGATGGGAGAAAGTTGTAGAAAGTCAACCACCACTGCAGCCCTCCACCAGGCGGGGATTTATGGCAGAGTGGCCCGACGGAAACCTCTCCTCAGTGCAAGACACATGAAAAAACACCTGAAGGACTCCAAGATAGTGAGAAATAAGATTCTCTGGTCTGATGAGACCAAGATAGAACTTTTTGGCCTTAATTCTAAGCGGTATGTGTGGAGAAAACAAGCACTGCTCATCACCTGTCCAATACAGTCCCAACAGTGAAGCATGGTGGTGGCAGCATCATGCTGTGGGGGTGTTTTTCAGCTGCAGGGACAGGACGACTGGTTGCAATCAAGGGAAAGATGAATGCGGCCAAGCACAGGGATATCCTGGACGAAAACCTTCTCCAGAGTGCTCAGGACCTCAGACTGGGCCGAAGGTTTACCTTCCAACAAGACAATGACCCTAAGCACACAGCTAAAATAACGAAGGAGTGGCTTCACAACAACTCTGTGACTGTTCTTGAATGGCCCAGCCAGAGCCCTGACTTAAACCCAATTGAGCATCTCTGGAGAGACCTAAAAATGGCTGTCCACCAACGTTTACCATCCAACCTGACAGAAATGGAGAGGATCTGCAAGGAGGAATGGCAGAGGATCCCCAAATCCAGGTGTGAAAAACTTGTTGCATCTTTCCCAAAAAGACTCATGGCTGTATTAGATCAAAAGGGTGCTTCTACTGAATACTGAGCAAAGGGTCTGAATACTTAGGACCATGTGATATTTCAGTTTTTCTTTTTTAATAAATCTGCAAAAATGTCAACAATTCTGTGTTTTTCTGTCAATATGGGGTGTTGTGTGTACATTAATGAGGAAAAAACTTAACTTAACTTAAATTATTTTAGCAAATGGCTGCAATAGAACAAAGAGTGAAAAATTTAAGGGGGTCTGAATCCTTTCCGTACCCACTGTACATTTAATTCTTTCTTACCAAACTGTTGCTCGCTGCACCCATCTGACAAACAGGTCAAAGCTAGTCTGTGAAGAAAGGAGTCAACAGATTGAGTCCAAGTCACATGCAATAGCCACAAAGTTCTCAAAAGTGTAGACCAAATCTTGAATGTTATTATTTGTTTGATATTATTATACATTTTGAGTAGACCAGTCTCATACAATACCTGAATTATTACCTTTCATGCTTTGAACAATGTGGGGAATTGCTACACTTTGCAAATTTGCATTGAATTAAAAAAGAAAAATCAGAAGTGACATGGCAATCTATATGTCCTTCATCCAGCGTCAATCACCTAAATTGAACAGGTCAGTTACTAAAAATCCAGACCCATTTCACCCCGCATTAGATTGTCTTAAAATGTTTTATCTGCTTTTGGTCACATGATAATGATGTATTCGGCTCACAATAATCAGGGTCAGAGCGTTGATGAGCTGCCAGATTGTGTAGGAAAAGTACATTTCTGTGATGAGGCTAATCAACAGTCTAGATCATCACCGCCACTGCCATCATCGTCATTAACAACAAAATAGCCACTTTTTCAGTGCAAACAAAAACAACAAATTATCAATCAACACTGAAGGATGAAACAGGAAGAAAAATGCACTGGTGGATTGGATGTGATGTGCGTGAGTTCTTTTTATTGTGTGTGCTTTGGTGGATGGTGGACATAACCATAAAAAATATATAAAAAATAAAAACAATTTAACAATTATATATAACTTTGACTGTTTAATTAATAAACAGCCAGATCAGTCAAGAATGAAGCCTGAGGCATATTGGCCTGAGGTATCAGGCAAAAATAAATGCCATTATGCAGTTAGTATCATTACAATTATGTTGGCCAATTAAATGTCCGATTTTTTAAATACCGTCACTCTTTGCTGGCTGTACCAGCGAGAGGTTTTCTTTTCATGGCCAGATTGTAAAGCTTACAATACACATGGTCAGAAGACCAATCATCACATGGTCATGCAATATTAAAGACACAGGCACTAGCATCATTCTTGCAGTAAGTTTGAGCTAAACATTGTGTAATTGTCTGACTTTTAAAGACCAATTACAACGTTCAAAGACAATCGAATGTAATCAATTCAAATGTATACTCTATGCTGTAAACAAGTAGGTGGTCCTAACTGAACTGTTTGAAATGGCACATTTTGCAATAAAACTACAAATGTGTGTGTTTCTGAAACTTCTTTGGCTTCAAAGTCCATAAAATTAAGAATTTAAGTCCTAATAACTCAAAACAAACAAGTATAAAACTGAGCCAAGGGGAATACCCATGAGCACTTGTGCTTGAATAATTTAATTAAGCATCATTGGTCAAAGCAAAGCAGATTATATGGACATGTAGTAGTTTTTTAATTATGCTGATGTTGTTTCATTACAGTTGAGAATCGAGTTTTGAGAGAATACGCTGTTAGGATGATACGTTTTCCTCTGGGGAACTTGGGCCCTGTTGATTTCTTCCCATACACATACGTTATTAAAATATATATTTTATTATTAAACATATTTTGAATTCATAATAATATTTTACTTATATTTCCGTTTATCACATACATATCTAAATATACAATTCTAAATGCATAAACATTCTCATTTAAGCTGTACTTAATGCTCTTTTTAATCACAAATCGGAGTTAAATCAACAGTATGCAAGTTTTATTCATTTACTTATGTATTTAACCTTGAAATATCAGCTTTTAAATCATTTTGATGATACACTGACTTCTAATAAAGCGCTAAATGTCTGGGAGTATGTAAGGTTGGAGAATGGGTAAAAAAGTCTGTGCAAAGGGCAAATTGCTTTATGGAGGAAACAAATGCACGTGTACAGATATCCACTGTGATAATGACAGTGATATATTTATGATAGCGAATTTCGCAAAAACACACAAGTCTATCATACAAGTTGCTGTAGTGTTCACTTAAATGGTTAAGATCAGTATTTAAGACTATTAGAACACCATAGGTGAACTTGATGGCTTGAGTTTGCAGAGAATTAATTTGGGAGAAACAAGTTTCCTCCAATAATGTAAGTACATTTAACCCATTAGGAGAAAATTGAGGAAGCGAGACAGTTTGTGTGATTAGCCAACTGATGCATAGCCTGTCAAAAACACGGATTTTCTCCTGTCCTGTAATAATTTTAACAAACTGTTTCTTTAAAATCATTGATGTATCTGTCAGTAGGTATGTTTCCAGACTAGGCTTACCAATTAGCTAATGCTGTTGTCAGAGGAAACAATCCCACTTTTGAAGCTCCCTCAGTATTCAAAAAGTCGTCCTCCTAAACAATCCAACACTACTTGTGACAGCCGAGCGCATTTAGATCAGTAAAAGCTGCCATCGTGTTGATGCTCTGAAGTCATCATCATCATTACGGTGGCTATTAAAGCAGTCCGTGGGCTCTTTATCTGCATGTTGTGAGGCTCGTGGGAATTGATCAGGACTGGATTGCAACACAGACTTTTCACAGTTGATTTATAAGTCCTAGGAAAGTAATAAAAGGTGCCCACTCAAGCATTTGAATCCAATTATCTTTCACAGAATGCTGTTGTTATCCAATTAAAACTCTCTCTGCTCATGAGAATTATAATAAGTTATTTTCTTGCTTTTGACAGAGGTGATTTATACTGAATGTTGCACACTCTGTGTTCATTGTCGATCTGGTATAAATATTAGGTGAAACTTAAATACTACAGGCTGTGAAAACAGAAATCAAGTTTCGAGTAGAGAAATGATCAGTTTAGTATGAAAGATGTCATCCTAAACCAGCCGGAACATTGAATCGGACGCTTTTGTAGCTGCTGGAAATGGACGAAGATGCAATAGAGGCACACTTTACTTATCTGGAATCATGAATTTTATTAAGCAATAGAAAATATACACCAGGGAAAATAGCTTCCTTTATGAGTTCTCAATTTTTTCTCAATTTTACACTTTTTCTTCAAAAATCAACTTCCAATTGTAGAGGCCAGTGAAAAACAAGTAAAATAATCCCACAGCAAAACTGGATGAGAGAAAAAAAAAAAAAAACTTCAGTCTTCACTGCAGTCCCATTTGACCAGACACCAGGGAAACGACACACAACTTCTGGTTTACAGAACATGCGCAGCCATTATGGGACGTGGTGCTGGCCTACTCTGCTCAGTACTTGTACCTCAGGGCCCCATTTGTCTACCTCACTGAGGTCCAGCTCCGTCTGGGGCTCCGGCAGGTCCAGTGAGCTGATGGAGCCGGACGGGGAGCCGCGGCCCTCGTAAGCGTAAGTCTGAAGAGAATCGTACGGAGGGCCGCTCGTGTCTCGGTCGGCCTCAACCACCTTGAGCTTAATCACCTCATGAATGTCCTCGTCTGGTAAGGTCAAAGCCGGGCTGAGAGCCTCGGTCCCCATTGCTCTCCACACCTCCGACTGCAGGTCCTTCCTCAACCTCATCTCCTCGGCTGCTGCGGGGTTCCTCAAAGCCGCTATGTCAAAGGCCTCTGTGTCTTCCTCGCCTCCTCCCTCGTCATCGTACGTGACTACGTTCTCTCTGATATCCTCCACCGAGATGATCAGAGGCTCCTTTTTGCTCTTCTTGCTACGCAGAGTGACAAACAGAACCACGATGGCTACAAGAGAGGAGACACAAGCTTAGTTTGTTCATCCATGTAAATGGTGATGTGAATTAGCTTCACTACCATCGGGAGTTAGTGACGTATCGCTTGGGCGTACAAAATGAGGAGTGCAATCATCTGCTTGCTGACATTTTCATATGGGGAAAAGCTTTGTCTGGGCAAATAATCACTTAATCACTCATGTGCTGATGTGAAATCAATGGCGTTTTGCCATAAATAGCCATGAGCCTCTTCATTCAAACAGATTAGCCCTGTTCCAAACAGCTACCTTTTAAGGCAGCAACAGCAATCATTAACTAAAACATAATAATAATTTAGCCGAAGCAACATTTCTCATTTTGGTTTAGTTTAACTTTAAGTACTAAAATAACTCAAATGAAATAAACTAAAATGAATAAATACTAATTTCTAACAAAACTATATATATATATATATACTGTATATATATATACAGTGGGTACGGAAAGTATTCAGACCCCCTTAAATTTTTCACTCCTTGTTATATTGCAGCCATTTGCTAAAATCATACAAAACAAAAGCTATGATAGTATATCAGTGATACTAAAATAACAAGGGGTAGCACTAAATGGACCCTCATAAGCAGGGTTATTATAGAAAACTAAAACCACAAAAACAAATAAATGTGAAATGAAATGAAATAAAATATAACAAATTTAACATTTTATTTCAGCTGGTTGTTAGTTGCCATTTAGATGAACTAAAACAACTACAACTAAAACTGAAAAATGAATAAAAACTATACATTAAAACTGATAAAAATGACAAAACAACAACACTAAAACAAAAAAATATATATCCAATTTAAAATGTAAAAATATTTATAAACAATATAATAGTGTCCACAATTAGTTCACCTCATGTGAAGGACAAGGGAGACTCAACTCTACATATATTATAGCATGTTGCTAACAAAAGATTTTAATACATTTAGAATTAAATAGCATAAATACATAAACATTAGGTAAAACAGTCTACACATATTAGATGAACTATAACTGTATTACTGACATTATTGACAGTGAGTGGTTCATCATGTTCATCATGATATCTCCTTAGATGGATATAACAGGGATACATGCCACCTTAAATTGTTACCTAAAAAGGTAACTATGTTGTTGTCTACTTCTGGAAACAGTCTTCATAATGACAGTTGTTAAATGATAAAAACACCCTGTGTATATTTATATATACAGGGAGACCAACTGAGACTTGCAAACCAGCTCAGGCTTGAATAATATGTTTTTTCTTCAGCAGGGTAGATAGGCACATCACTAGATTTTGGAATGGAGCCACAACATTGTGTTTGGATATTATGCTGTAAATTGGGAAGAGCCTCTAAATCCTAGCAAGCAAAAATACTGTTTTGCCTTATATTCATCGGCGGAAATCTTGGGGGGTGTCAAGACCCCCCCCCCTCATCTGAGGGTTGTCCCCCCTAAAAATATGATTAAAAACCACGCTGTGCATTGTAAATAACAATGTTTTATACTTTACATAATTGTGTAAGTAGTAAAACAACACAAACAGGGCAAAAACATTTTAAGTCTCCCCCTCCCTTGCCTCACAGTGCTTTGGTCCAAATGCCTGCTTTCCTCTTTTACATCACCTACACTCACACAAGTCTGGTGAGAGAGAACAAAGTCAATAGTTGTGGAACTCAGTAAGTAAGGCTGTCAAGGCTATTTTATTCACTTAAACATTGGATGAAGTGATTATTTTCTCTTTAATACAGATGATGCCAATGTATTTCTTGATGAGTCCGCTATGTTAGAAATAATAACGTTACCTGCTTGACGGAAAGGGTTGCCAGGTTTTTACAACAAAACCCGCCTATTTGCTACTCAAAAGTAGCCCAAAAGTAGCCCAAACCATCCGTGTTTCGAGGGGGTCCCCCAGTAAAAATCACGTTCCGGAGGCTAAAATACACATTATTGGGGTCGCTTCAACCCGCGGCAACAGTGATAAAAGTAGCCCAATTCCACGGGAAAACCGCAGACTTGGCAACACTGTGATGGATAGTAATGTCTACAACGGACACGAGTCACGACCGCCGTCGCGGCACAACCACAACAGCTTGAAGTTGTCTAATTTGGCATGGTCTCCCAGCTGCACTAATAGTAAGGCTTTCCTCTGTGTATACATATCCTTACAAGTACAATTTTAGCTGTATTATTTGTGTCCCCTTAAAATATTGCTTTTGAGAAATTTTATGTTTATTGTCCCCCCCCAACTGTTAGACTTAATTTACGCTCCTGCTTATATTTAAATGTATTATTAACAACACTTCCTGTCTGTTCAGGTATGTGCACGTTGCAATTGTTGTTCCAGGTTTCAGCCCACACAGTTGTGCAGCATTCCTGAATAGTGTCTATATTTGGCCTTGTCAGTGGTCCGGAGTGAGAGAGGGGTTTTCACACATTCTGCAGGGTGAAACTTCTCATCTACAACCAGTGAATTTCAAGCAGTGTTTCTCAGGATGTCAAGTAAAAGAAAGCAGCATAGAACATCTTGGATATACATAATCTCACAAATCCTTAGATCTTTATAATAAATGATCCACAACAATATCTGTCTGTCTGTCTGTCTGTCTGTATCTATCTATCAAGAAACAATGTGAAAAAATTAGAAAAAAAACTAAACAAAAACAAAATGTCTGTCTGTCTGTCTGTCAAGAAACAATGTGAAAAAATTAGAAAAAAACCAAACAAAACTAAATATCTGCCTGCCTGCCTGTCTGTCTGTCAAGAAACGATGTGAAAAAATTAGAAGAAAACAAACAAAACAAAAAAAGTCTATCTATCTATCTATCTATCTATCTATCTATCTATCTATCTATCTATCTATCTATCTATCTATCTATCTATCTATCTATCTATCTATCGATCTATCGATCTATCTATCTATCTATCTATCAAGAAACAATGTGAAAAAATTAGAAAAAAAACAAAACAAAAACAAAATGTCTGTCTGTCTGTCTGTCAAGAAACAATGTGAAAAAATTAGAAAAAAACCAAACAAAAAGTTACAGTGACTCTTAAAAAAGCTGTTCACTGAACTTTCTATTCATCAAAGAATCCTGTATCATTTATCATGGTTTTTGCAAAAATATTAAGCAGCACAACTGTCTTCAGCACCAAATCAGCATATTAGAATGATACAATCATGTGACACTCCTAAATAATTCAGCTTTGCCAACACAGGAATAACTTATTTTACATTTACTTTTCATCACCTTGGAATTATAAGGTTCTATCTCAAATGTTTTATTAAAATTGGGTTATTCACATATTCTTATTCTGTGACAATTTTTATTTTTTTTATTGTGTATATTCTGGGACTTTTTAATTAAAAAACAAAACAAAAAGTATATCATATAGTATATGGTCTACATAGTATATGGAATGCAAAAACTTTGAAGCTCAACATCTCAAATCCGCTCAGAATGCAGATAGAACCTAATAACTCCAAGGAAGTGATTTATGCCTTCAGCAGATGCTTTTATCCAAAGCAACTTACAAAAGAGGAACAAAATATTTAAAATAAATTAAAATAGAAAATAGTTATATTAAATTGTAATAGTATTTCACAATATTACTGTTATTACTCTATTTTTGATCAAATAAATGCAGCCTTGGTGATCATAAGAGACTTCTTTTAAAAATATATAAAAAATGGGTTTCTCTTTATTTAGATTTTTCCATTAAGACATTCTGTTGACTATAAGTAACGTTGCACCTACATATCTACTAAGTCTCACTAGAATGTTAGTAGACTGGTAGGGTTAGGGTTAGATTAAGTTGGCATGTACTTGCAAAGTTACTTATAGCAAAGTCCATTTCAAGGAAAGTCTGTTCACTCGGCGGCCATATTTGCAACGCCTCTGGGCTGCTCAAACAAATCTAAATAAATGGGGGAATCATGAAATCTCAAAAACTGCTCGCTGAAGTCGCAATTAAATTACATACTTCTAATCAGCAACAAAATCTGAAATGAACCGCCCGATGAATGTTGTTTCTTATGCTCAAATAGCATTAAAAAAGCATATTTTTCAAGCTAGACCTGCCAATGCGTATGCACAGTTTTATCGCGCTTATGAATACGCATGCCCATCGCTGCTCTAGCCTCAGGTTTCTATGGGAACCGGGGCTTCTAATGGCCACTGCAGTGACGCAATGACTTTACCAATCAGCAATTGGCTCTTTCATTTAGAAGGCGGGATTATTTCACCATATTGCGCGTTGCAGTTTCTCCCATTCATAGATATAGGAGTGAACCGTCTTTGTATTTCTATAGTCTTTGCTCATAATCAGTAGAATGTCTGTTGGGAGACCATCACAATAAAGAGGTAGCAGATATTAAGCAGACAGGCTACTGATACTCTAATGGGAGATAGTTGAAATGTAGGTGCAATGTTACTTATTGTCAACAGAATGTTCAAAAGGGACCCTCAAAATAAAGTGTTACCAAAAAATGTTACCGACCACAAACTATTGGACATATAAATAATGTAATTTTACAATAGCTTCAAATTTGGTTAATCCAATCAGAATTTAGAATCAGAATTATGAGTTTTATAAATACATTTTTAAGCTAGAAACGCAAAAAAAAAAAAAAGTGTTTATGTTTTCTGATCCATATTTCTTCTTCCTCTCCACTTTTGAAAGACATTAACTTCAGACTGCTGAACCTAAGACCCTCGGCCAGTTGGGTGTCTGGATCTTAGTCATTCGCTAGTTTGAAGCATTGCTCAGACTCATGATGTTTTGTCAGCTTGTTAACCTAATTGGCTCCTGCTAGCACATCAGCTGCAAGTGGGAATCTCCTCATGCAGAGTCTGGACCAATTATTGAAGCTCTTCACCTGTCTGCGCTGTACCATCCATGTTGGGCCAAGGGTTTCTCTCTCTGGGGCACTTTCACACCAGAGCAACAACAACAAAAAAACTAATTATATATATATATATATATAAATAATAAAGTTTATTTATTTATTTATTTTACAACATTACTGTTTTACTGTATTTTTTGATCAGGTAAATGCAGCCATGGTGACCATAAGACACTTTCAAGACAGGTTCAAAAACATTTTTAAAACAATCCCACCGTCCCTAAACATAAATTCTATAAATTCAGCACACTTTTGCTGTAAAGTCATGGCATATAATGCAAAACATACTGATTTGTTTGTTTTCATCACATTCTTATCGAAGCTTTTAAGACAATCACAAATCCTTTTGTAATGTCAAGGGTGCAAACATAATGCACTTTCCACCCTAAAGTACAATAAGACATACCAATACATGGAGAAGAGAGTAGAACAGAACTCTGGACCAAGTAATAGAGCCAGGTTTGAAAATGGCCTGTGCCACTGCATGACAGATTTCTTCCAAATTACATTGCATTGTTTCATGCAGCATACTGTTGTGAATGTGTGCAGAGCAGATCAAAAGAAAAGAGCTTCCTGTGAGTTGATGCCAGTACAAGAAATGTGGTTTTGCCTTATCTCTGTGGAAACACTTAATCAAGGGCCACAGCATGACAGCAATCCCCGATTATCTTACAAAGTAATTGGGAAGAGGATTTTATTTAGATGTTAGATGGACCGGTTTGAGCCCAGCAGACCAGAAGTCATAATAAATGAGAGACAATTTCTTCGCTTATGAATGGACCTCTGCCTTATACAGTAAATAATTTACTGGGCTTGAACGAAGCCCGAAAATAATAATAAAAAAAGTTCTGTGGTGCTTTAAAAGCAGCCTTTAATTAAGCAGAGGTCCAAAGTGAAAACACAACTATGTACATTAATCACACACTTTCATTTAGGCTGAATAATTTACCATACCTTTATTTAAACAGATGAAAATTCTGCTATCATTTATTCCTCCTCATGTTGTTCCAAACCCATAACACTTCGGTTAATCTTCGAAACACATGTTAAGATATTTTTAAAATATCTAAGAGGTGTTTATCCCTTTTATCCCTCCATTGAAAGTCAAGATAACCAAAACTTAAAAGATCCAAAAAGGTCATTAATACTTTGTAAAATTAATCCATATAAAGCCGTTTAGTCCAAGTCGTGTGAAGAGATACAGTACAATCGCTTTATATGATTAATCAATTTAGGCTTTTATGTACATCTAAGCAATGATCAACACACAACCATATAGTACATCCAGGGCCGCATTAACCATTGGGCTAGGCGGGGCTGAAGCCCCGGGGCCCAGACAAGGAGGGGGCCCATGATTGGCTGTGGAGTAGATTGACTGGTCATGGTAGCGCCGATTGCTAAATCCCCGCCCCTCACATATTAGCACTATTATTTAGTGGAGCTTTTCCATATATTCCATGCAATACCTTTTGAGATTAAAACGTAACGTTTGAATTTGGTTTACCAATCAAATGCATTTATTCTATATTTTTACTTTTGAACGACCCGTGCACCATGTATCAATGAGGTGATCGCTGCAATGTCCGCGTCCTCTCTTCACTTCGTTCTGGCATAATCTGGAAATGGTCATGCAAAGAACAATCTTCGATAAGTTAAAATGTAAACTATTCTAAAAAGAAAGTGAGAGAGGGGCTATTCTAAAAAGAATAGGAGAGAGGGGAAAACATGAGTTAGAGAGTCAGTAAAATTCCCAGCTATCAGGTTATTTTACTAAAGCTGATGATGGAGTAGTTGTGAAACAGCAAGTGGACCGGGGACATGGAGCAGATAAAAACAGTGTCATCGTCCCCACAGATTTTAGGTTAGTTTGATTAACAAGTTAACAACTTGATGGATGTATATTGCTTTTTGTGTTTGAACAAAGTATATTCGCTTATGGGTTGAGAGATAAACCATATAGCCTATCAATCGTTTTGCGTGGCATGATGTAGGTTAAGCTTTTCATTTTAACGCATTTTAAGCATTGTGGTTTAAAAAAAAATGTAACTCTTCAGGGACATATTAAGCAGTGGGGCAGAATTCATTTTGGCAAATGCGCGCGTTGCGGTTTCAGCCTGATTCGCGTGGCGCACACCTGCTCGTACAGTGCCTGTCTAAACTTGAGTTATTTTTTGCGCCTTGTGCTTAAACGTTCAAATGCACAGTTATGTGTCAAAATATCTCCTCGTCAACACAGTTATTTGTGTCTTAAACGATCGTTAATAGTTAAATATAAAGCATGTGTAGTAGTAGGCTATATGAGATCCTAATATGATGACATTTTAAAGGGATAGTTCACCCAAAAATTAAAATACTGTCATCATTTACTCAGCCTCAAGTTGCTCTAAACCTGTATGAATTTCTTTGTTCTCCTCAACATAAAAGAAGATATTTTGAAGAATGTTCGTAACTAGAAACTTTCTGGTTCCCACTGACTCCAGTAGTGTATTTTGTTTGTCATACTATGGAAGTCATGGGGGCCCAGCAACTGTTGGGTTACCAGTATTATTCCAAATATATGAAGAGTTTATTTGCAAAAACGGATAACTCAGTTTATTAAAATAAAAAACATGATTTTTGAAAATTATGTTATGTTTTTATTGTCTTTTATTTATGTTAGTTAGCTGTATTTATTTATTTTTTTATCAAAATAACCCAACTGCAGTTTGAGCGAGAATAATTGGAATGCACAATGAAAAAACATAATTTTTGAAAGTTGTTAAAAATGGAGTTATCTGTTTTTGCAAATTAACTCTTCATATACTTTTACATTCAACAGCAGAAGAAAACTCATACAGGTTTAGAACAACAACAGCCCTTTAATTTTTGGGTGAGCTATTCCTCTAAAGCAGCCTAATTTAGCAGCTGTTAAAATTTATGTCAATAATGTTAATCAAACATTAGAAAGAAAATCACTCACTGTCCTTGACCAAATCACATTTGTAAAATAAATAAGAATGAATGTATATTGAATTTATACAGTGAAGACTATTCAGTTTATTTGTACAATTATTGTATACAATATAATTTCTTATTCAGTGCTTTAAGTGTTTCAAGTAGGTCTATTTTTTTTGTAATTTGTAATTTTGTCTGTTTTTACTTAAGTCAAGTATAAGCTTGTTTTTACTTAGGCTATAGTATTTTTTTTAATATTGAAATTGGTAACAAGAATTATAAAATTTCAATGCATAAATGTTTTTTTATGAATAAATGTATTCATAATTTTTTTTATATTATATTTGTAATAGGGGGCCCTGCAGTAAGTCATAGCCCCGGGGCCCAGTAAGGTCTTAATGCGGCCCTGAGTGCATCACATATGGTAAACCATCATGAACGCTTATATGTGATTAACTGTCTACATTAAATCTGTTCATAATACACAGTGTAATATAAATCATGATTCAAATCGTATCTCTTCACAAAACTTGGATTAAACCGGATGATTCTTATGGGTTCATTTTATGACACCTTTATTTGGATCTTCTAAGTTTTGGTTTCCTGGACTTTCAATGGAGGGACAAAAACCTCTCAAGTTTCATTACAAATATCATTTGTGTTTCGAAGAATAACCAAACTTTGATTGGTTTGGAACAACATTGGGGTGAGTAAATGATGACGGAATTGTGACCTATCCCTTTAAGTACCCTTTATGGTTAACCACCAGCACAGCGGACACAAATGTTCAAAGAGGACCCTTGATATTTAATTTAAAAATGCATTGTCGCCCACTGTGTGTGTCTAACTGCTTAAATCATAATCTCATTCAAGGGTAAAGCTATAAAGGCTATGCCGCAGCACTGCTGTGTATTGCTGCACATGAACCTAGATTTCAATGTGCAACGATTAAAATTTCCTGTGAACCATTCCTAGAGCGCTTGATGCGGACTGCTATCTGCCGATGAATACATTGGTACATGCTGAATTATTTATAGGTTTAAGAGCCTCCAAAGTCTGTCGAGCCACAGATAAATCCATCCATGATGGTGTCAGACATATCATAAAGGCAGCGTATATGTTTCTCATTTATGCATGTGTCCATGGCGTTAGTGTACGTGGGAGTGCGTGTGTGAAAAGAAAAATGGAATTAAACCATGAAAAAAAAAGATGGTTTGAGAAAACAAAAATGGTGCAGAAATAGGGTAGGAGAAAAGGACAGGAGAAAAGGAGGAGTGCAGATAGTAAAAATGGTTTCAGGGGTTCAGATTGGAGCTGACAGGTCGAAAAAGACTGAGAGGAGATAACTAACCTGGCCTGCCTTGGAGCCTTCACACACAACCAGAGCGCTGTCTGTGGCAATATAGGGGGCATTGTCATTGACATCCAAGACCTGGACTGTGACTGGTACATAGCTCACCAGATTGGGATTGTCTGGAAAGAAAAAATGTGACAAATATTCAATCATGGATGTTTTCCATTTAAATAACTGGCAAAAAACAATGAATGATCAATGTATGAGGGATTTCACATGATTGAAATCATGCCATATCAGGACCCATTGGCATAAAGCGTGAATCAGCAATATTTGCTGTTGAATACCGTAATTTATGTACAAGACAGAGATATCCTTAAATCTGTTATTCACAATTCAAATGCCAACTTTTGAGCACTTCTTTAACTGTGTGAACATTTAATACTTTCACTAGTTTATTCGTCCAATAGTAATGTCCAACAGTAGGCTACATACATACATCATAGGTGAATTAATCATATGGAAGTGACATTTTAATCATTTGTCTTGCTAATTTCACAGCTATTTGTATATATCCTAAATATCCACAGTTAAATAATATTTTTACACTTTTATACTAATCTGATCAAATTACTGCCGTGGACATCAACTCACAAGTGATAATTATGTAGATTTTTCTGCCCACATCACATTTCATCTGAAGCTTTTCACTGACACTGTTTGTTTTAAATAATTGTAATCATATTTTAATGTTTTTTTCTTTCTTTGTAACTAGGATAAAATAACTATATATATATATACAATGCCGCAGCACTGCTGTGCATTGCTGCACATGAACCTAGATTTCAATGTGCAACGATTAACATTTCCTGTGAGCCATTCCTAGAGCGCTTGATGCGGACTGCTATCTGCCGATGAATACATTGGTCATATATAAATGTATATACATATATATATGTATGTATGAATGAAGTTCTAAAATAAAAAAATTAAATTAATCTATCAAATGCATATGAAAAAAAAAACACAAATGTCCAAATATCATGTGACTTTTATATGGCAAAATAGGTGAAATCTGTTGGTTTGTAAAAAATAAATAAATAAAGACCCCCAAACAAAAACAACAGCCCCTGGGATATTAAAGTGGTCTGAGCCTTGTGACACAGGGGCAACCTGTTCCTTTGCTGTCCTATACACTAAAGGACAAAATGTTTTTTTTACATTTACCATATTTCTAACCTTACAGTGAGATATATATGATTCATGCTGCTCTCATGGGATTCAGTGAAGCATGATGGGAATTTAAAATCAGTGTGGGAAACATTACACCCATTTTGGAGTCATGTGCGAGGGACGACGTTCGGTATGATGGAACTGAGATTAACTACAGTGACCTAACATTATCAGCCCACTATCAGCAAGCGTTTACAGAGGGCAGTTTCAGCCCATTAGCTGAACACCACTGTGAAGAAAAGTGTAGAGGAAAGATAATTGCTTAGATAAGCATCTGTAAAAAAAAAAAAAAGACCAAATTGAAGAAGAATTGATTGACCCGGTCCACCTTCAAAGCCACATCAGCATGCCAACAGCAGCCTCAGCATCAATCCAACAATGTAACACTCCCTCTTCAAGGAGATATTTGTTTGGTCAGTATCGATGATTAAACTTCAGGGCCAATTATTTCTTCTGGACAAGGTGTTCCTAGTCCATGGTTCAAAAAGAATGCTTGATTCAATATAAAGATATAATTGGTAAAATGGTTCCCTGTGTTTTCCTCAGAAACCATCATAAAAAAAAAAAATAATATATATATATTTGGATTACACATATGCATTAAACATATTGTGATGCATATTTGGTCAGATTTCTTTTTTAAATTTTTTTATTATTATTAATTTTATACAAAATTCATTTATTAAAATCGCTTAAAATCTGCATAAATCTGTTGATTGTGAATACAATTAAATGTATTCAGTTAAAAGTATGAAAACTGGTTAAAATATGGCTAGCTGTGGAACAAGCAACATTCAATCCGCTAAAATGTATGAGATTGAAACCAACTGAAAACAGAATTCAGGCCTCAGGGTTGTACATACCAATCTCTGAAGCCATCACTGTGATGTTGTGCCAGGCTACCTCCTCTCGGTCTAGACTCTTGGTGGTTGTAATGAGTCCACTGTCAACATCGATGTTGAAAAGTGCATCACCTTCTGCATTTTGGTCGATGGAATACCTAAAATTGCAATGTAGACAAGTTCTACTCAAAGATAATATTCAAAATATGATGACAGATATTCCAGAAGCACATATGAAGAGTATACATAATGCTTTAATATTCAATTAAATTCAATTCAAGTTTATTTGTATAGCGCTTTTCACGATACTAATCATTGCAAAGCAACTTTAAAGCTTTTCCGGTCCACCTTCAAAGCCACTTCAGCATGCCAACAGCAGCCTCAGCATCAATCCAACAATGTAACACTCCCTCTTCAAGGAGATATTTGTTTGGTCAGTATCGATGATTAAACTTCAGGGCCAATTATTTCTTCTGGACAAGGTGTTCCTAGTCCATGGTTCAAGAAGAATGCTTGATTCAATATAAAGATATAATTGGTAAAATGGTTCCCTGTGTTTTCCTCAGAAACCATCATAAAAAAAAAAAATGACAACTTTTTTTTGGGGGGGGGGGGACACTTATATAAATAGACTATAAATAACTCGACTGCTTCTGCATTTGGCCTCAGTGGCCACCACAACTTCACCTATAGGTGCAAAGCATTGTGTATGTAAATTGTAAGAAAATTAAGCATGAAATAAAATCAATGTTCATATGATTCCTCCTTTACCTTGAAAGTAAATAAATCTTCTGGAACTTATTAAGCTATTAGAAATAAGACTAACAAGATTTTTCTATTACCACAGTTTGCTATGGGAGAATATGTACTTCCTTAAACAATTTGAATTGCAATTCTGCATCCTCTTTGCTACTACCAGTCAAATTCAGGAATTTAATTAGAATTTAAAAGACATTCTCAGTTCAATTCTGAATGGGGCACAACCCTGGTGGATTACTAGCAGAGACATTTGCACTGATATATAGACACTGTAAAATATAACTCAAAACCACATATACCAGTATAATTCTCTTTGGAAACTTGCCTGACTTTGCTTCTTGTGCTGTCCGGGTCTTGAGCAGTTACCATGCTAACCTCTGTCCCAGCCGGAGCATTTTCATACACATCCATGATATAGTAGTCCATAGTAAACACCGGAGCTTCATCAACATCCCCAATGATAAGCTTGAGCGTGGTGGTGTCTTTGAAAGAACCTAGGTAAGAAAAACGAGGATCCAGATGGGTGTTGACACCTTCTATGTTCAAAGAGTAAGCCTTCTTCTTCTCGTAATCCAGAGGCTAGAAAGGACATCAGTAAAAAGATCAAGGGAGAAGCAGAAAAGACATTTTAGCCTGGGAAAAGACAGGGCATGGCTGAATGAGCAGACATTAGTTTACGTGGCTGTTGAACCCACTGGTTTTGTGGGAACGTCTAGTTCAGACCTTTCTGAGGGAGATGACTCCTTCTCTCTTGTCACTGTCTGTAGAGATGGAAAAAATGGCAGCTCCTTCTTCATTGGTAATTCTGTATGTCATCTCAGCGTTGACGCCAAGGTCTTCATCGTTCGCTTTGATTTTCCCAACTGCTTTCCCTACCTGAGCAGATTCTGGCACGTACAGCTGATAGTTTTCTGAAGTGGAGGATAAACACAAACAGAACAGATGCGATTTTATTAAACATTCGAAATCTTTTGATGCGAATATTAAAAAGTGTTGCTTGCGCTCAGCTAATTTGCAGGGTTTATTTAGATTAAACCTGCGCAAGCTCAATAAAAGTTGTTTACTTTCTCAAAATAAAGCTTAAACGAATTCAGCCATTTGGGATAAATTCACAGTACATTCAAAGGGATTTAAGGATTAGATGGTTTCTGTAGAAGGGGCGTGCCTAAAATCCAGACTTTTTTCCATGGTGAAAGAGACCGAGAGAAGCAGGGACTCTTACTTTGAGGGAATCGTGGTGGATTGTCGTTGACATCGGCCAGTGAGATGTTGACTGTCGTGGATCCGGACAGACCCCCGACAGAGCCGGCCATGTCTTTGGCTTGGATGATGACGGAGTACATCTCTCTAGTTTCTCTGTCCATGTTCGGCAAAGCTGTCCTGATGACACCTGTGATCCAGAGGGCAGAAAAAATTTATATAGTTCCCGCTGACCTACATAACCCATATTCCATTATTGGACGTTCAAAAATGTATTACCATTTTCTGCAAATTATGGTTTTCCAAGTACAAATATTAAAACAGTCCACATTTCCATAGCAGACAAAGATTAGGGAGGTCTTGAACCTTCCAAATGAAGTGAAAACAAAAGGTTGTGGAACTGCAAAAGCCTGATAAACATAAATATTGTCATAATTTATCAAAAGTGACAGTAAGGACATTTATAATGTTACAAAAGTTAGCCTTGGTGAGAATAAAAGACTTACATATATAATTTAAAAAAAGTAATGGTAACACTTAGTATAGGGACCAATTCTCACTAGTTGCTTATTAGCATGCCTATTATTAACATATTGGCTGTTTATTAGCACATTTAAAGCTCATATTCTTCATGGCCATATTCTACATCCTTGATCCTGCCCAATAAACTAAACCTAACAAGTACCTTAATTAATAAGCAGCAAAATAAGAGTTTATTGAGGCAAAAGTAATAGTTAACGGTTTGTTAATAGTGAGAATTGGACCTTAAAATAAAGTGACCAAAGTTATAACTACCGCAAATGGTATTGCATGTACCACATATTCAAAACGCTTCCGTGTGTTCATCTATAAGCTGGCTTTAAAGAAATAAAGATTTTGTCAACATTTCCAATGGAAATTCTCATAAAATGGTTCATCTCTTGAAAGTTACTGTACAATTCACATAAAGCAAATTCTTCATTTACTTTTGTCCATGGAAAATGAAGGACTAGAGCTGTGAAGCCCCTACAAAGGAAAAGGGACCATAAAAGCAAAATAAAAGCAGTCCACAGAACTCGTGCACTATATTTGAAGGCTTATGAAGCCATATTACAGTATATCTCTGTGTGAGGTCCAGACTCATATGAAGTCATTATTCACAGAAAATCTTGCTCAGCATTCAGTTTCACTGTATGCAAAAGAAAAGCTTGGAAATTCAGCCTAACACCTCCTTTTGTTTGCCATAGAAGATAGAAAGTTAAATGGGTTTTCAAAAGACAAGATTATGACTAAATAATGCATTTTTAGGAGAACCATCGCTTGAAATCAAACCGCTATCCATTTGATGGCATTTCCAGCAATAAGAGCCACCATTCACAGGACAGGTGCGTGTCCAGAATATCATGTGCACACTGCAGATCTTTGACCCCTAGTTATTGAGGCAGTGAGCTCACAGCGAGTGGTTATCCTCTGCTTTGCCTCTGTTCTGACCTGGTACAGGTTCTTTTCGAGCTTGACAACACACCAGCAGGCGAGTGCTGACCTCTCACTTCTATGTACTGTTCCTATGCGGTTTAAGCCCTTAGCATGAACCTTCCTTTCCAGATGCGCACACACACTCTTGCACAAAGCATGCTGGTGATCATCTCCTGCATACTCCACAGCTCTAAAGCAAAGGCTGCCATCTGCTCCAACCGTTCCCTCAGGAGATAGAGGATAAGACAGGGATAAAGGAAAGGCTGGAAAGCATAACAGCTTGCGTTTGCCATGTGAACTTGTATTTGTGCCCCTTTACGCCCTGAGATCCCATGGTAATGTTTCTAAGAAATGAGCACCAACTGACATGATACACCAAGGCCCCAGTGCACCAACATGGGTTGTTTAAAAACACTGGAAATCAATAGCATCATTTCATAAAAGCATAAGCTCTGTCAGTACATAGCACTAGACACATTTTATTTACTTGTTAGTGAATATATATAGTATACTTCTTGACAGTTTCATCAACAAATATATGAAATGCCTTGATGTTTTCACACTCAAGGTTATCCATCATCCAGAAATCAAAGAAAAGTGTGCATTTTCAAGCCAAGCTATTAACGTGGGACATATCCCATTCTTTTATTGATATTTTAAAATGATGTAACCTGATGATCTGCTGATACATAACTGTGGTTCATTTCATATATAGTTTTTTTTTTGTCTGGTGAAAACCTAAGAAGACCTAAAAATGTATACAGAAATGTAATATTATATAGGAAGGAAGGATGATGAGTAGAAAACAGTAAATGTCTAGCATCTCTGTAACTATACACGTTTCATATTTTTGACATATAACTAGAAAACAAATGCTATAAAATAAATGGGCAGTATAAATATTTCTATCTGAAAGTCTTAATATAAATACACACACAACACCTACAAGAAGTCCAAAATGCTGGCAAGAAGCACAGAGGACCTGTGAGGGAATGACTAGCAGAGAATTTCAATTTCATGTTATGTGTGAAAGTGTGAGATGGACAGTTTAAATATTTGAACATGCAATGTTCTCTTTTTAAATGGACACGACCAGTGGGAGTGAGAAAAAATATGCAAACAGATACCTCAATCCGCCAGAACAAATAAACATACACCAGTGTTCAGCCCCAGAGAATGTCATAGAGATTGCACCCAGCCTATTGAGAGCAGACATCACCTGCCAGGACAGGGGATTTCAGCAGACAACACAACGAAAAAAGTAAAATGTTCATGTTAAACAGGCTCTTAGTATTCAGCTAGTAGCCACAAAGCAGAGACAGAAAGTAAATAAAGCAAACAGGACCAGACACTGATGCAGAACTTGGTAAGCCCTGTTCTTTGTACTGAGAGTTTGATTTCTTATGGAACAACAGACAGTCAACCTTACAGTGAAAGTGCAAAACATCACGCAGGCTAAGCATCACCCACCGGTAAATGGGGCGAACTAACTACTACACAAAGGTGCAGTAGAGGTAATTCTCAGCTAGGAGGATTAGACACAATGATGCTTAAGTTATTGTACTTTACATAGACGTGGATGGGTGGAAACAGTAGCTTGGGTAATTGTAATTGTAGGAAGAAAAACAGATCAAGCATATTCCACTATGATATATTAAACCACATTATACTACAAATATCGTATTCTACAAATCAGATTAGACTAGAATAAAAAGAACAACCTCTAATAATTTTACCCTGAAAATAAATAAATAAAATACATTTGAATACTAAAAAATGGCACTGGAAATAAATTATTAACAAAATATTAAATAAATGTAAAAGTGCTCCAGTAACTATAATATTATTGATGCTGGTATTCTTTTGCTGATGCTTCAATCAAATTATCAAAAAAATAAAAATTAAATGTAGGACAGAAAATAACTACATTTACATTTATTCATTTTGCAGACTCTTTTATCCAAAGCGACTTACAATTGGGGAATACATAAAGCGATTCTTCTTAAAGAGGCAAACAGACACAGGAAGTGCTCGTAATACGTAATAAAAGTTTTAGGCATTGTTCAAATAAGTACAAGCTAGAAAGGGAAGGAATAAATAAAGAGAAAAACAATAAAAAACTATTTCAAAAAGTCAAGTAGCGTCGAAAGAGATGAGTTTTCAGCTGTCACTTGAAAATTGTCTGGGATTCAGCATTCCGGATAGGGGAATAAATAACTAATAGTAGCAACTTGACTACATTTTTCAGTAGCTCAATGTTGTATTGCACATAAAGGCTTCACAATTAAGGGAACTTATATAATTATCAAGCATGCTCTACTAGAATGTCCTTTCTGTCTCATATAAAGTAAACAGCCTTTGTTGCCCATGTTGGTGCACTGGGGTCTGGTTGTACAGTATCTTATCAGCTGGTACTCATTTCATAGTAAACATTACCATGGGATCTCATGTGCAAGTTCACATGGCAGACTCAAGCTGTTCTGCTTTCCAGCCTTTCCTTCATCCTCGTCTTATTCCCTATTATTTATATAAGGCATAAATATTATGTAACCTATTCAAAATATATAAATAAATAAATAAAATAATAAGGTTTTAGTAAAACATTAAATATTATACAATTCTTATTAATAGCAATTGTGTAAATTATACAAATATCAAATTTCCCAATATGTATAATTATAATATTAATGTTATATAAATTAGGATAGTTTTTCTTTTAAACTATGAAACTTATTGACATTGTTCATTCAAATATCATAGTTTTTTTTGTACCAGAAAATACGTCTTTCATTAAATGACATTAAAGGGATAGTTCACCCAAAAATGAAATTTCTGTCGTTAATTACTCTCCCTCATGTCGTCTCAAACCTTTAAGACAACACGGATGTGTCATGGTATGAATGCGCATTGAAGACTGACACGGAAGAGAAGAAATTGTTGAATAAAGTTGTTATTTTTCTTTCTTTTTTGCACAAAAAGTATTCTCGTAGCTTCAAAACATTACGGTTGAACTGCTGATGATTTTACCGATGTCCTTACTACCTTTCTGGGCCTTGAATGTGTCAGTTGCGTTGCTGTCTATGCAGGGTCAGAAAGCCTAGATTTAATCAAAAATATCTTAATTTCCAAAGATGAACAAAGGTCTTACAGGTTTGAAACGGCATGAAGGTGAGTAATTAATGACAGAATTTAAATTTTTTGGATGAACTATCCCTTTAAATTGTAGCTTGGCAAACTACACTTTCAAGAGTAGAATTCCCAATACCACCTACTGTATATCTACGGATAAACTCAAAATGTGAAAAGTTTTATAGCTGTGATGCTCAGAGCAGAAGAGACAAGCCTCCGCCAATGCTTTATCTCTCTCCAAGAGCAAAAGAGGCTCTCTAGACCTGGAGTATTGGATTATTTGAGAGTGATTCAAACACGCACACACACTACTCTCAGTGCTAAGGGTATAGGCACTTCCTGCCAAAATGAGCAAGCAACACTGATATGCAAGATTGCAATGTTAAACCGGCGCCCTATGATAATAACCCCTGATGTGAACATTATCATATGGCCTCTTAATCCCATCAAAACCTTCATGATAGCCACAAACAGGGGATTAGAGATGAGAAAAGAGTTGAAAGAGTGACCACGACGGGATTACAGTCCATCCAATCTCATAGTTTTAGCGCCAAAGACACCAATACAAGACAAACCGCCATCAGAGATTTGCTGCTTCAGTGGAGGACAGCAACAATCCCACGGGTCCCAGCGGGAGGGAGACTGAATGAGCAATTACACATAATAAATAAATGCACAGTAGAGTACCCATGAAGCAATTCTGTGTAAATTGGCACAGTTTCGTGGCGGATATCTGAGGGATGGAAGTATGTATTGGTACTAAGCTGAGTCTCTTGGGTCAGCAGCTCATGCTGTTGCTGACAGGGCGTTTGCCAAAAAAACACGCACACACTAACAGCTGGAACGAATGCTACTCACCATTTTACCTCGTACACTGCTGATGTAGACGTTCGTGCATCTACACACACCACCCTGGCACACTCAAACGCATACAAGCCAAGCAAATTCATCCTGCATCAAATAGGCTCTATCATGGGATAAACACTCTGCAGGTTGGTGCTTTCAAACTGGGACAAACACCCTCCAGGCACATTCAACTTGACATAAACAAACACCACCACTGTGGAAATTGAACCAAATGGCTACTAAGCACAGAATGAAAAAACGAGGGAGGAAGGAAGACGTTAAATTAGGATATACACTGTAGGCGAGCAGTACATCACAACAAGTAAGCCACGGTTCGGGCGTTTTCAAGTCTCCACAGAACAGTGTAGCCCGGGTTGTACGGTGCTGCGCTCTCAACGTTTCAATCACGTGTTGATAATATTATGAAAATGATTTGTTTATCCACCCGGGCTTTGTGCGAGTAATTGAGTGTACCATATAAGTCTCCAAAGAAAACCATCCATATTCATCGCCATCAATGTAGGTTTATTGATTTATTTCTGAGATACAATTGAGAATGATATTTCCCACATTTCCCTTATGATTCATTGGAATTTCAATGTAGATGCCTGAGTCTGAGTTCCGTTCGAAAGAGCATACATATTCTTTTAATGCTTAACTGAAGTCCCTGCGACAAAAGACACATTTTGGTACTGGTCGGGAGGGGTTTTTCCCCTCAGTCTCGGTGGAAACAACATGTATGAAAGGTCCTCAACAATGTGAGAACGCATCAATTATTCTCCACATAGGGTAGCACAATAAATCGGGAGTTCCTTTGTGCGCCTGAAAGCTGTTTTACAGAGAAAATGTATCTGTGTTTCCTACAGCCTATTATTGTGGAATGACTCACCCAGTGGTGACTTCGCACAAGCTCACAGGAACAATCAGAAAATATTCAAGTGCAGACTTCTACAGTCAAAGGCATCTCAAAATGTCCATAAAACTGGTTATTTGTAAAAAGCGAGGTCTTTGCGTACCGGTTTTGGGGTCGACGGTGAAGAAAGGCTGCCCTTGGAGAATGCTGTAGACGATCTTGGCACTGTTTCCGTAGGTGGGATCATCGGCGTCTGTGGCAGTGATCTGGAACACCGACGTTCCTGCGTGGACATAAAAAATATGTCCAAGTTAAACTGCTAAAATTATTCATATGCTCAGATTTGCATTCATCCTCATTAATGCATGCCACAAGCATGCTCCGACAGAGGCAGTACTCATATGCCGCTTGCTAATTCAAGTGATTCATCTCATGCTTCCTTGACCTGTACCAGGTTGAATTCACCTGTCATGAGCCTCTCTCCTCCAAGCCTTAAAGCATATAATGCTATTACGAAGTGTGTGGGGCTTGGATGGTGGCGATAACGCTGCTCTAACCTGAGACACATTCGCAGTTTAAGAAAGAACACAAACACAATAGATTGAAGGCACCGGGCTCTAGAATAGCCTCTCTTGAAAGGCCAGAGGCCCTCAACCAGTTTATAAGGCTCTATCTGTATTGCTAGTGATTAATTCATCACAGCTTGATAAAGTGGAGTCAGAGAGCTCGCCAGCTCACTGCTGGTGTTTGTTCTGTACCCAAAGCAGAATGTCTTACTCGGAAGGGCACAAATAATGACTTGAGGATAACAAATTCCAACGAACAATAGGCCAAAAAAAAAGCAAATTTTTTAACATTATACATAATAATTTTTAAAACAAAGCAATATTTCTAATGAATATATCTACTTATAATTATACAATTATAATTCAATGGCATGCCTGTGAAGCGAACATAATTAAAGTGAGAAATGTATGATTGTAAATGTGCAGTGTGGTTTGAAGCTTATTCATCTGCTTTTATTTATTATTTATCTGATATATTGAATACAATTTATATTCTAGATCATACATAATTTTTGAAAAATGTATCACAGTCTCCACAAAATTATCCAGCAACACAACTGTTAAATATTAAGAATTTGAATAATGATTTGGAGCTTAATAAATTACTGGAATAATTGCTTTTGAAAATGTATCTTTGCCACCACAGGAAAAAAATAACATTTTAATATATTTATTAAATAATAAATATTAAATATACTATTAAGGTTAATAATAGTTCAAGTATACGATATTACAGTTTTTACTGCATTTTTGATACTGACCAAAACATTTGAACAAAGTATATAAAAATAAATAATTAACATTATTAATATTGATTCTATTATAATACAGTAGTCAACATTTGACGAGGATCAAAAAAGTTAATCAAAGTTGTCCTAAGCCAAGAACGCATTTTGGTTTTAGGTTTTAGGACTTTGATGAAAGGTTTTGATCCACTTCAAATGTTATAGTTTATAAATTAAACCACCCATATTTGCTATATGTAAATTATAACACATCCGAGTACTGTACAGATAATTTTGTCAACAGGTACAGATACATATGCAAATAATTGTCTTCTGTTTGTGTTACATTTTTAAAGCCTAAACTAGTTTTAAAGACTCATTGAGAGCATGAGAGCAAATAAAAGCAGTGAAGGAGAGCGATTCATACCAAAAGTGAGAAATAAACCCTGCCCTTACCCTAGCTGTGCCCGGAGGGGAACATTGTGCCGACAGGTTGTGAGGAATGATAATTTCACAGCTCTTTGGCTTGAGTCCAGCCAATTGATTTGGATAGGAAGGAAGAACTCTGCGGACAATTAGCACTTTCCTGACAGTCCATTTACTGCAGGGTTGATATGCACTGCCATTGATGCAGACTGCAGGCTCTGCATGTGGATTACTCGTGTATTAGCGTGGATAGCACAGATCTATAAAACATTGACATTTCAAATTGAGATACGGGTGTAAAAAGAGGTAAACACAGCTGGTTTTTGTTTATCGAATGCTGCATTCATTTGGAAGCACTTCAAAATATTTGCACCCCATATGTGAGGTTTTTATGTGAGATATTGGTTCGATTTTGACATTACTCCTGAAATACAACAGACAATATCCTCTTGAGAGGCTTTATATAAGAAACAATAGATTTAATAAATCCCGCTATAAATCCACCACAACCAACCCCGCAGCTTGAGATGAGCTCGAGTCCAGGTCAGAAAGGCTCAGATCTGCAATGGGACTCTGCGGTCTGAAACTGATGAGCCAGCTAATAAAACCTATGCTCTACTGACAAAATGTTCCTCCGTTCCCCGAGCACAGCCCCAGACACCCCCCCCCCCCCCCCCCCCCCCCCCCCCCCC